GCAAGATAAATAAATATAATTTGGATTATGAAAATTGTCAAGAAGGAATGTTCCTTAGATTCCAGGTTCAGGAAACAGAAAAGTTTCTTTTACACATAAGTTCTCTGAAAAAGCYTTGGCCACCTGTCATTTATCTCTTTAGGTTTCTCATAGATTAGATCTAAATATTTCTAAAAACCCAGGCCGTTCAAACAGGATCAATGACTTATTATGCAATGAACTGTGTGAGTCAGTTCCTAATTAAAGACAGATTTTAGAAAATGTGAACAGTTTTTTTTCCCTCTTTGTGACATTCATGCATGATCTCCCTGCCCATTTGGACAATAGTTTACATACACCTCCAGGCCTCATTAACACAGCTGACTGACCAGTAATCAGTCATCTGCACTGTTTTGTTCTCCTTATTAGACAATGTGAAGACAAGCACAATAAATCTGATTGTTACTTCCTGAAGTGGACTCATCACAACTGTGGCTCCTTCTTCTTGATCCAATTTTATATAATCTGTGTTTTTCTTCAGTTCATGTCATTTATAAACACGTTAATTATCATAATTATGCAGACATGTCCTTATGAGACCCTGACACAGACCCTCGAAACTCAGTTACACAATATCCTCCTCAATATGAATAAGTGACACATTAAAGGGACAGTTCCGTTTAAAGATCTCAGTAGTTAGTGTCTTACCAGCTGTGACAGCAGTCAGTATGTTGAGGAAGAGGCAAAAGTCTTTGTCTAGGCTAGGCTAAATGCTAGCAAAAAGTGCCATTTTTCTTTATTATTGTCAGTGACGGGCAGCACTAATTTATATATTAGTTGCACTAACCCTAACCTGGTCCAATTTAACCAKGAAACCTCCCACACYAAAACGACAGGTGTTTCASTTTCATTGTCTAACCCCTGTATACGTATRTATGTWTGTATAATTTCATCAACGGGTCCAACGAAAGWCACCCACTGGCCACATACAGCCTGTGGGCCATCAGTTGCCCACCCCTGGAATAAAAGATCATATAACAAAATTGTATATAGACATTGTTTTCCAATACTTCACATGCTTAAAATCTAATTTTATTTATAAACCACTTTATGCACCATAGCAGACCAAAGTGTTACAGAATCAAAACATGCAAAACAAATTCAATCAAAAAAAATACAGGTGAGATCAAATCAGGAAATAAAAACAGCAAAATATGTAAAATCTAATTAAAAATAATAAAATCTATAATTATATCAAAGTCAAAAACCAAAGGAAACAAGTAAATGTGGGAAGTGGGATTTAAGACAAGAGAACCAGTGAAGAAGCCTTTCTGAGACATTCCAAGGCCTAGGATCTGCTGCAAGAACAGCTCGACCCCCCGGAGTTTGAGTCTGGTTTTAGGGACCCTCAGGAGCAGCTGATCAGCTGATCTGAGGGCGTGGGAGGGATTATGGAGTGCAGAGATAATGGGATAGATGTGCTCATATTTATGTCTGTTAGCTAAAAGCCTCGCTGCAGCGTGTTGGACCCTCTGCAGTCGGGCACTGGAGGACCCCCAGACCCCCAGATCCTAACCTGTTGGATGGGGAGAAAAGCATGGATTACGTCTCAACATGTCTTTTTGGAATGAAGTGTTTTATTTTTTTTGATTGTTGAAACTACTAAAAGCCGGATGAAGAAGTGTGCAATGGAAGATCTGATGAGTCCAGCTCTGCCCTGTTAGACTGACAGGAAATGTCCTGTACACATAAAGTTTGATTTGATTTTATAGTTGTTTTGAAATTTTGCTSTAAAACTAAAATTGTAACTTTAAATTTAGTCAACATTTTTCCTGCATTTATAGCCAGCCGGATGTTCCCATCCAAGCCTTCAGCAGTCGTTTTTGTTTTAGTAAAATGATAAACAAAGGATTCACCACTAGAGGGCAGCAGTGATATAAAAAATGATGATTCTGGTTTCATAACTCTGTTGCAACGACACATTTATTTTCAATGAATAATTCATTCACCACCACCTCTCCGTCTTATGGTTTTGTATTTTTTACTCTTGTGTTTTTTTAATTGAATGTGGCATTCTGATAAGAGGTGGGGTATGTAACTGATGTCTAATAATAAACATGTTTTAATCTTTTATTACCTCACATGGCTTGTGTGTTGACAGTTTATATCTTATTTTAGTGTATTGGCTTGTGGCATCTTTTAAAATTAGTAACATCTTATGATATCTTGAATTACTCACAGCTAGTGCTCAAATTATTTCATGTTGAAAATAATTGCAATTGTAGCCATTTTGGCCAAATTTTTAATATTAAGTTGCGTGCAATTTCACAAGAATAACTATATGTTATGAATGTCTGTGAGCTGGTAACCACATCAACATTTAGCTCAATATCTGCCAGTTTGACATTATGTTGGCTGCGTTTGTGTTTGCTAAGCTCAGTTAGCTGCGGTGAGCATTTTGAACTGGATTGACTTCTAAAGGTAATCAGTTGTAGATTTACACCTAGACATAATGTCCTAATAGTTTTATTCAAATTTGTTCAACAATTATTGAGATATTTTGCTAACAGACAGATTAATTTGACGCTATCGTTGATGCCAAAGTTTTAAACAAAGATCCTCTGAGATCTGTTATTGCGTGGAAGATATGTGAGGAAGACTCTCAGCTACTACCACACATTGATACACTGGATTGGGCGTCACGTGACCTGGGCGTGCGTCACAAGGGGGATTTTTATGCATTGAGCTAATGCTAATGCTAATCATTGAAATCAATGAGCAGAACGTAGCGCGGTGCAAAAAAAAAAAAAACACTTTATAAATGTATAAAACAGGGGCGCCCAAACATTTTCCCTGAGAGGGCCAAAATTTAAATCAATCTGAGAGTGGTGGGCCAAATGCAACAATATAATAC